AAATAAACAAATATTTTCTGTGAAATTCAGTAATTAAGTTAATTCTGTAAAAGTAGTTATACCATTATAATCTTGCCTGCTGAAGAAAAAAACAATAGAACCCCTCCCAAAACACAATAACAAATGTAATGGATTTCAGGTTTATAATGGGAATTGTATTGGTTTTAATGTAAACTATAATGGTGTATATTTGATGGATTCTGTTGGTGGGATGTAATCTGGCACATGGTAACCAATAGAACAACAGCAATTCCTATTGGAATAATGCCCAAAACAAAAAGGAATTTTGTAATGGTTTAATGGAAATTATAAGAATTTCTGTGATGGTTTCTATTGTTTTTTTCAGCAGGGTAATGATACCCATACTGTGCTGCACATTATTGACAATATTGAGCTGAAGCTTGACTTTGCAAATTTAAAATCGCAAATCAAATCGCAATCGCAATATCTGTCAAAAAAATCGCAATTTGATATTTTCCCCCAAATCGCACAGCCCTATTTCAAAGTGGAGATTGTAACTACAGTTTAATGCACAATAATGAAAACATTTTTTTCTTTAGAATCTTATGCACTGATAAATGTCAGAAAATGATTACAAATGTTCTTTTCCCTTTTCCTCTTGAAACCCATTTTCACCAGTCTGCTTCTGATGCTTCAGTTGCTCTCTCACTACTCTCCAGTCTCCAGTCTCTTCTGCTGCTCTCACTGTGAGGCACACAGACAGGAGGGGAGTGGGCAGGATTTCCATAATCCCTCAGTCAGACACAAAGCAGGCCAAAGGCTCAGGCACAAGGCCTCGGTTGGCCTTCAGTCAGCATCTAAAAACATGAAGACATGAATGAACAGATCTCCTCAACACCAGTCAATCAAGGACATCAGGACATTGTATTTGCGATTTTCCTCAACACAAGGACATCAGGACATTGTATTTGCGATTTTCACTTTGATTTCCTTTCCACAAATTGTCTAAATTGTCTAACCTATGCTAAATATGGACAATTAAAGCACAATTCCCCAGTTTTGCCTGTGATTATACATGGGTATGGTGTCCATTGCCGTTTTTATAATCTGGATGTATTTTAAGCGTCTTGGGGTGTAAAAGTGGGAGATTGAGGTCTACAGACGTCTGTCTAGTAGTCTGTACACTAAAGAAGGCCGAAATGGCAGTGGGTCGCTGTCAGTGTGGAATGTCTATTACTGTCCCTCCAGACCCGCAGGACCCGCCGTGTTTGTTTGCTACTATTCCTTTACTTTTTTTTGTTTGAGGAATGCTGCAAACACTATTAAATGTTATTTTAAGGTGGTTACATTGATAGGGCCCTATGAAATCCGTTAAAATTTTTCTGGAATCTGTTTTTTTTCCCGTTTTTATTTTTCTGGACTCCATTTTAATGGTTAAAGTTTATTAATCAAAAAACATGTTGAATTCATGAAACTTAGGCTACGTCCACACGAAGCCAGAGCTTTCCCTATCCGATCTTTTTTTTTTCTCCTTGTCTCAAGAAATATCTGCATCCACACGAAACCGACACAAAACGATGTAGTATACATGCCAGACCAGCATGTGGCGCGGTAATTCTGCTACAGAGATACACAAAAACGGAGAAGAAGACTTGGATTATGTGCATAAACCTTGCGCGCGGTATACAAACGGACATGGAACAATACATTTATTAATCTGTGTCAATGTTAGTTAATAAAGAGACAACCCGTGTGGACGGGCCTATATACATTTTTTTAGGGTTCTATGAATTTCGTTTTATTTTACTTTTTTTATGGTAATCACTTGACTTTGCAAATTTAAAATCGCAAATCAAATCGCAATCGCAATATCTGTCAAAAAAATCGCAATTTGATATTTTCCCCCAAATCGCACAGCCCTATTTCAAAGTGGAGATTGTAACTACAGTTTAATGCACAATAATGAAAACATTTTTTTCTTTAGAATCTTATGCACTGATAAATGTCAGAAAATGATTACAAATGTTCTTTTCCTCTAGTCCAGTGAAACCCATTTTCACCAGTCTGCTTCTGATGCTTCAGTTGCTCTCTCACTACTCTCCAGTCTCCTGCTTCTTCTGCTGCTCTCACTGTGAGGCACACAGACAGGAGGGGAGTGGGCAGGATTTCCATAATCCCTCAGTCAGACACAAAGCAGGCCAAAGGCTCAGGCACAAGGCCTCGGTTGGCCTTCAGTCAGCATCTAAAAACATGAAGACATGAATGAACAGATCTCCTCAACACCAGTCAATCAAGGACATCAGGACATTGTATTTGCGATTTTCACTTTGATTTCCTTTCCACAAATTGTCTAAAATAAACTCCCTATGCTAAATATGGACAATTAAAGCACAATTCCCCAGTTTTGCCTGTGATTATACATGGGTATGGTGTCCATTGCCGTTTTTATAATCTGGATGTATTTTAAGCGTCTTGGGGTGTAAAAGTGGGAGATTGAGGTCTACAGACGTCTGTCTAGTAGTCTGTACACTAAAGAAGGCCGAAATGGCAGTGGGTCGCTGTCAGTGTGGAATGTCTATTACTGTCCCTCCAGACCCGCAGGACCCGCCGTGTTTGTTTGCTACTATTCCTTTACTTTTTTTTGTTTGAGGAATGCTGCAAACACTATTAAATGTTATTTTAAGGTGGTTACATTGATAGGGCCCTATGAAATCCGTTAAAATTTTTCTGGAATCTGTTTTTTTTCCCGTTTTTATTTTTCTGGACTCCATTTTAATGGTTAAAGTTTATTAATCAAAAAACATGTTGAATTCATGAAACTTAGGCTACGTCCACACGAAGCCAGAGCTTTCCCTATCCGATCTTTTTTTTTTCTCCTTGTCTCAAGAAATATCTGCATCCACACGAAACCGACACAAAACGATGTAGTATACATGCCAGACCAGCATGTGGCGCGGTAATTCTGCTACAGAGATACACAAAAACGGAGAAGAAGACTTGGATTATGTGCATAAACCTTGCGCGCGGTATACAAACGGACATGGAACAATACATTTATTAATCTGTGTCAATGTTAGTTAATAAAGAGACAACCCGTGTGGACGGGCCTATATACATTTTTTTAGGGTTCTATGAATTTCGTTTTATTTTACTTTTTTTATGGTAATCAAATGAAGGCATAAAACCTTAATTTATTTTTTTTGTAATCAAATGAAGGCATAAAACAATAATTAATTTTTTTTGTAATCAAATGAAGGTATAAAACATTAATAAAATTTTTCTTGTAATCCAGTGAAAATGAAACCCTTTCAGTTTTTTTTAGCAAAGTGCTGCACAGCAGGTGTACTGTTAAAACATGGAAGAGAAATTGTCTGATTATTCCTTAAATAAAATGTTTATATTTTTTTATTAGTAGTAGTAGTATTATAAGACGTACATTCTACTGTACAAAAGTAATATGTTTGTCACAATTTCTTCAAGTTTAACTGGGCTTTTATTTTGAAGGGTTGTCGTGAAGAGTTCTGTTTGTGTGTGTGTATGATATAATGACAGTTCTAAAATGCTCATGAAGTGATGATGTTCATGTGTTCACGTCCTCATTTAGTGAGACGACAGAGCGTCACGCTGAACATGCAGGATTCTTATTTAAAAGGCTTTTTGCAGCTCAATATTCATAGACACTAGCCCATATCGTGATCTGATTTAAGTGAACTTACCTACTTTAGATTTATTCATTCAAAATTTGGCAAATTCTGTGACATTCCGCGTTATACAGTAAATTCCATTTTTATGACTGGATTCAGTCCACGTTTTCCGCTTCGGAATCATAGGGCTCTACATTGAGATTAACCACAAAAAAACACACTGAATAGGTATTTTTCGTTCACTAAACACTCTTTTTATCTCCCTTTGGTTTGTCAGATTCTCATTGCTGTGTTTTATTTTTTTTTGGCAGGTGATGGTGAACTCTGAGAAAGACCGTGCTTCTCTCTTGTGTATGAAGGTTCTGGCCAACAGGGGGCGTCTGGACATGGTGTCTCAGCAGATGGCCTCTCACCCACAGTACCTGGAAAGTTTCCTGCGCACACAGCACTACATCCTCTATATGGATGGCCCATTGCCCCTGCACTACCGCCACTACATTGCCATCATGGTAAAAACAGAACGAACATGCTTAAACATGCTCTACAGGCAATCGCAGGCTCAAATAATATCTCCGTGTAATTGATGAAAATGTCTTTGTGTTTCAGGCTGCAGCGCGGCATCACTGTAGGTACCTGGTGTCTCTGCACTCGGCTCAGTTTCTGCGTGTTGGCGGAGACCCGTTATGGCTTCAGGGGTTGGAGGCCGCACCCCCGCGTCTACGGCACCTTGATCACATCAACAAGGTCCTGGCCCATCAGCCTTGGCTCACGGCACGCTCCCACATACAGGCTCTGCTCAAGACAGGAGAGCAGTGCTGGTCTCTGGCTGAGCTCGTTCAGGCCGTGGTTGTACTGGCCCACTGTCACTCCCTTTGCAGTTTCGTTTTCGGTTCTGGTTCTGACTCGGACATCACTCCCACTCCCAGAGTGCATCACGGCACGCCTCCTGGCTACTGTCTCTGTGACGCTGCCAACGGCAACACCGCCTTATCGCCACCCCCTGCTGGACCCACAGAGAAGGCATGTTTTGGTCTTGAATGTTTGGACTTAAAAGCTAACAGCTAATCTCATACATTGTACAGCATAGAGTTGTCACAGTATGAAAATGTCAGTAGTCATTACTCATACCAGGAAGATTTAAAATGAATTTATTTAATATTAATTTTAAATGTGATATTACGGTCTTAACTTTTTAAATAAAACAATGGCCTTCAAAACTTTAAAATAAAATAGTAGTTTTTAAGAATTTCTCAATTACAAAAACATTGCTTAAAAATGTAAGTAAAAGAAACAATCCGTAATAACAGAGAAAAGAAACAAATCACAAACAATAAATAACTGAGTCCAATCAAGTGTTTTATTCAAGTATTTTTTTTTTTAAGAAATTAATGCATTTATTCAACAAGGATGCATGAAATTAATCAAGTGACAGTAAAAACATTATTATAAAAGATTTTTATTTAAAACAAATGCTTTTCTATTCATCAAAGAATCCAGAAACAATGTATCATGGTTTCCACAAACAGCAGCACAACTGTTTTCTACATTAATAATAATAATAAGAAATGCTTGAGCACCAAATCAGAATATTAGAATGATTTCTGTGACACTGAAGACTGGAGTATTGATGCTGAAAATTCAGCTTTGCCATTACCGGAATAAATCACATTTTAAAATATTCACATAGAAAACCTTTATTTTAAACTACAATAATATTCCACAATATATCCTTTTTACTGTGTTTGAATAACAGTGCCCTTGGTGAGCATAAGAGGCTTCTTTCATAAAATGTTTTAAAAAATTGGTAGTGTACAATAAACTACTTCAGTTATATCACAAAAAGTACAAATAAACAAATTCTACAAAAATTCATACATCAAAAGCACAGTCTTCCTGCTCTTCTGTCATTTTCATAATAGGCTGACTTGATCATGGTGATACCACTTGGATACTTGGGAACATAGTTGGCAGTTGGCACTATGGACACTGTAGAAAGACAGTTTTTTTTAACTTAAATATCAGCTTGGTACTTAATTAACAATATTTCTGACATCCCTAGGATAGCAGTGTGAAGTCCATTGTAATGCAGGCATAACCTGCATGGTTTGTTCTTAACGGTTGGCTCTTTTTTAGTCCTTAGACTCCAGCTGTGAAGTTGCTTGCCTTCGAGAACAAATTCAAAAATCACAGGAGGAGATCAAGGAAAGAAAAGGAGACCGACTCCATTCACAGACACTCCCACATGCAGGTAAGATGTTGTTCATCAGTTTAAAGTCAGTGTGTCATGTAACCATGTTTCCCAATGCTGCTGTAAACAGGATGTGTAATTTTGGATTGGGATGAGTGTTTAGAGAGTTATTTTTACACAAGGGCTTTTTCTTGTGTATATATCACTCCCTCATGGACCCTCTTTCATAACCTTCCTTGCTCTTTCTCAAATGCAACTCCGTATTAGATGTGGAGGAGGAGGACGAGGCGATGTTCTCCGCAGACCCCTCCCGCTTCGTCACAGACCCAGAATTCGGCTACCAGGAATTTGCCAGACGGGAGGAGGACCATTTCCAAGTATTCCGGGTGCAGGTGGGGACAGAGACTTTGCATTGGGTGTCACCTAACAGAAGTAGCATAAAAGGGTACTAAGGGTCAGAATTACAGCTCATGGCCTTCCTTCTCAAGACTGTCAACACTTAACGTTACTCTCAAAACCTGACTACATTTTCTACATTTGATTTGAATGGGAGTATGCCACTCCTATAGTGAAAACAAATATATATATATATATATATATATATATATATATATATATAT